TCTCTTATCCCTATTCATCACCAATGTATGTCTATACTCTCCTTTGCGGGGCTATATCAACTTAGTTTCTGTTATCATAGTACTGATATACAGTGACATAAATTTTGTTTCATATAATCCTAACAATAAGCCTGAGAGGTATGTGCTACTATCCCCATTTTATGGATGAAGAAAATTCAGGTTAGCTAAATTAAGAGAACAGTTAGGAATTATGAGTATCAGGATTATAACCAACATCTTCCTAATCCCAAAATGAGTAATGTATTCACTGCACCACGATGCCTAAGTTTGATACATGCTTAAACTTCAAAGGCATGAAATCCGGCATTGTTTGGATTATTGAAGTATTGACTATCATATCCTGTGTAGCTAATCTAGCTATGTATATTTCAAAACTGATTGTTTGATTATTTAAGATGCATTATCCTTGCTCAGTTGTAGGCTTCTGTCTTTTATGTATTTTTATATTTCTTCAAAGAAAGAGGAAAAGAACACACATGTATGTGTATATGTGTACATATATATGTATAGATATGTATGTATACACATGCACATATATATATGTGTGTGTGCATATATGTGTGTGTGTATGAGTGTGTGTGTGTATATATATATATATACATATATATATATATTCTTTTTTGTGGCAGCAAAGAACCTGAAACTAAGGGGGTGCCTATCAATTGGGGCAAAATAAATGATGACAGTATATGAACTTAATGGAATACTACTGTGCAATAAGAAATACCGAAAGGTATGACAATTTCAGAGAAAACTGGGAATATTTATATGAATTAATGCAGAGTGAAACAAATGCAATGGAGAACAATGTTTACAACAACACCATTGCAAAGATAAATTTTAAATAACTTGAGAACTCAGATCAACACAATGACTGACCATGATTTCAGAAAACTAATAATAATAATAATAATAATATCTAACATTTAAATAGCACTCACTATGTTCCAAGTACTATTCTAATCACTTTAAAATTATTCTAATTTGACCCCCAAAACAACCTTGGGAGGTAGGTGCTATTATCATCCCCATTTCACAGATGAGGAAACTAAGGCAAACTGAAGTTAAGTGACTTATCCAAGTTCATACAGCTAATAAGTATCTCGGACCAGATTTGAATTCCTTTGAACCTGACTCCAGGCCCAACACTCTATCCACTGTATCACTTAGCATGATAACAACATACTACTCACCTCCTGAAGAAGAAGTGATGAAATGATAGGCTTAGGATACAGATTGAGTCTGATATGATATATGATATATGATATGATATGATACAAGTAATATATAACATGCAAATACATATATGTTTAATGTGTGAATTATTTTATTTGACTATGCACATTTATTACAAGGGTTTGTTTTTCTTTCTTTTCAACTGATGGAAAGTGATAGAGGAAGAGAACAGATTTTTGTTAATTAAAAAAATAAATCATTGTTCTATCTCCTCATAATAACCATTATAAATCATTGTATAAAGTTGGTGTTTTAAAAGTATTTATTGTGTTGGAATGAATATATTTGTATGACTCCACTTCTGAAGTTCCAAAGTAATTTACAAGAAAACTTTAAAGAACTCCACACGCAAAGTAAAATGAATAGAGCAATTACTCTGCTAAGTTAATCTAAGCAATATTTTCCTCTGAATTATTCAAATATTTCAAGAGAAAAATTTCATCACATATAGAATATGTGGATAGTCAAATATATACTCCAATTCAATTTGCTAGCATAAACATAGTTTCAATATTAATCAAATTTACCAGATTCTTTTAAGAATGTTAATCCTTTTCTTTCTATTATTAAAAATTCAAGAAAGTGTTAGCCTTTCTAAAGCAACAACTTCTAAACCTAAAATTGATCTGGAACCTGAATGTTTAGGTTCATAGGACTAGAGTATTTTATTTGCAAGAACCAGAAGTTTTATGGTATAACTGCCTCATTTTACAGATGATATAACTGAGGTCCAGGGGGTCAAGTGACTAGCCCAGGTGCATAAAAGTAGTAAGTTGAGTAGAGCTGGCATTTGCATGCAGGCTTCTGAATCCAAATCCATCTAGGCATCCTGAAGAAAATCATTCAGTTCTCCAAAATTGACATGTACACCCAATAAGGTATGATAAGTAGTCACAAACTCTCAGGAGTTTTCAGAAATCTGGTAGTCTAACTCAAACAGGAGCAAGACTTTTTCTAAAACATGGATGGAAGTGGTCTTCCAACCTCCACTTGCTCAAGTGAGGGGGAAAATACCACCCTCACACATGAATCTTATGCCATTGTTTTTTAAAATCCAAATTATACTTAAAAGTTTATCACTTTAGCCCTCAAGCCTTTGTGCAGTCTGTCAAATGTCATTACTTCATTTGCAAGAATGATGCTGCTGCCTTTTGCAATGTTCTTACTGGAATGAACAAAATGGATTCCTCAGTAAGAAATTTGACATCTCAAAGAGTATAAACAGATGGATCCATAGATTCATAGGCTCCCCGAGTGTACGGGGACCCCATAGGGAATTTAGTCTAACATGCTCATTAGCAATACTTTCTACAGCTATCAGTTAGTCATCCAACTTCCACTGAATACCTCCAGCTATAGGGGACTCTTTACTACCTATCAAAAGTAACCCATTGCCCCATGAGACAGTCCTGATTTTTAAGTCATTATTTACATAAAACAGCAATGCATCTCTGTAACCCTCCAATAGATTCCACACCTGCCCTCTACTGCCAAGTAAAACAAATCCAATCACTCCCCTACAAAACAGGCTTTCACATATTTGAAGAGAGATATTGTTTCTCCCCATCCCCATCCTCAAATCTTTCCTTCTCTTCATCAATTCCTGCCATAGCAATCATACTAAAGCTTTTTTTTTTCTAAACACACAGGATGGACCAAATGTCAACAAAGGCAGTCCATTCCTTTTTTGCATCTTTGAAATGAATATGATTAATTCAAGATTATTTATGTGGCAAGCACAACCAAGATCAAAAGTCGACATTTATCTTTGCTTGTAAACACAGCCTAAAAATAAAATAAGCTGCAATTATATAACAACACTAAAAAATGAGGCAAAGGGAAAATTGTTTTATTTTTTTTTTAAAAAAAGAATATTTTTTGTGATTGCATGAAAAAGTTAAAAAAATTGTTTACTGAATAATACAGAAAAAGTGAATAATGATTTTACTTTTGCTGTCCCAAGTATCTTATAAATTCTAAAAGTTAGTGTCATAAAAACAAAAGCAGTTCACAAGTAGAAAGGCAGTAGCTCAGCGTGGAATTATCATCAGTCCAAAACTATTTTGCTATCTAATGGCAACAACACTGATTAATGACTGCTTTTTTAACTAATTTGAAGTAGTATAGTTAATGCTATCATTTTTATTCCTTTTGAAAGTTGTTATAGAGGGGTCAGGACCATAACATATGCTAGTTAAAACTGCAATGTGCTCTTAGGCCCAATTATGTTGTTCTTCTTTCTTGGTGTGCTGAGGCCAGACAATTTCATTTTATATTTATTTATTACTATAATAGCTCCCTGTTCTACTGGCTAGCTTCATCAGTGAAATTCACAGTCATTATAGTGTAAATTAACATTTATTTTTAAACTCTATTCATTCCTGATAAGAGGCTTTTCCAGATTCAGAGTATGTTTGTTACCTAGCAATAGCAGTAAAATGAATAAATGAGATTTTTAAGAACTCCCTACTTCATATATATACATATGTATGTACATGAATATACACTTGCATACACATATGTATATATACACATACATATATACACACACATTTATTCTCTGCATATAAATGTGTATGTCATGTTAACTTTTGTGCTTTAATTAAGAACAATACAGATGTGATAAACTAGGGAAAAATGATGATGACCCTTATTGGTCATCACTTGGCTGAAATGAGCAATTCTTCTTTGAGCATCTCATCACTATTTTTTCTCCAATTCTAGTCATGGGGAAAGGTAAGTGCATCCATTTTACCTACTCCCTTTCCTGTTTATCCTAGATGAATGAATGAAATACAGTTTACTGTTTAAGGAAGGCAGGCTAGCTGCTTCTATCCTATACACAAAAGACAAAATCAGACCTATTGCAGTAATCTTACATCATTTCATTGCATAATTAAGCAAAGAGAGAATCTAATTAAATATGTCAAGAAGTCTTTGTCAGGGAATTCCTCATTCCCAACATATAATCAAGCATTCATATGCAGAGTCAGCCATAGTTTACCCATAGGATACTAGACTGTCAGTGCAATAATCAGAGTGGCTTAAGGATCATTAGGTTCATTTCTGTATTTTGAGCAGCCCCTTATACCAACTTTGGTTATAGGTTCTGACAAGGACTGTCCCATGTTAATAGCAATCACTCTAGGTTATGGCAATCATAAAGCATTCTGCTTATGGGTTAAGCTAACTCCTGGAATCTAGGGGCACTAAGAAAGTAGGAAAGGCTTGGGCACCCGAAAATCTCAGAAGTATTCTTGGAGGGGCTAATTCTAGGCTCGTTTGCATTTCCTCAAAATCTTTTGCAAAAAATAAGAGCCATAAGTATTGTGGAGGAGATTGAAAATTAATGTCTTTCTTCTTAGTAATCTCTTAGAGGAGGAGTTGGCCCAGGCTAGATATGCAAACTCAAACTCAAACTTTCTGTAGATCCTCTGGTTTAGACACAAAACACTATGATGGACTCAGGCTTCCTGGGATCTCTTACCTCTTCAAGACACAGTCGGATAGTGAAAAGTCACCTCATGTGGTGCCACCTAGGTTATATGAGAGAAACATGGCCCTGAGCAGCTATCATTGCTACTCTGAATTCATGCTATATAGAAAAAGGGTAGTCTTGCCCAAGCAAACACTCAAGTATCACTTGAGAATATGTAAAGCAGCTTATAATGTGCCAACTTAAGAGTGCTGAATTTAAATAACCACTCATTTAGTAATATTGGTTCCGTCCATGCTATACTTACTAATTTTACTTGCAATTATAGAGAAATTATACTGTGGAGTGCTTTCTCTGTCCAATAATTCATTAGTAGCAATGGTTCCTTCAGTTCCATCTATTGTAAAGTAGCTGTCCCCATCACTCTTCCAATCTATGAAGTACCTACATATAAAAAAGAGATAGAGAAAGAGATGCAAATATGGGATGATTACCCATTTATCATACTGGAAGTCAGGTTAGCTTGACATGGTACCTTATTTTTCTCCTTGCAGTCATTACCTGCTTTGCAATAAAGAAGAGTGTAAATGGCAGTTTCTTTATTGCAGTTAGTATGCTCAAGGGAAAATAGGAAATAATGAAAGATTTAGTACTCCTGCTGTTCATATTATTTTAGGACCTTGACACCATGAAAGCTCAGCAGAGGCTACAGAGTCCCATGCTGACCATGGCTTTCCTTACCCGAATGCTGATCAAAACTTGTACAAGTCATGAAAGACTGTTTAAAGCGATAGGGGGGTTGAGGTGGAAGGAAAGTGATTTTCAGTACTATGAAAAAAGAGAGAGACAGACAGAGACAGAAAGAGAGAGAAACACAGAGACAGAGACAGAGACAGAGAGGCAGAGACAGAGAGAGAGATACATAAGAAGAAAACATGAAGGTTACTTACTTTTGTACTAGAAAATAGACTCACATTTGAAAAATTAAAGCAGAATTTTTCTCCTAAAAGCTGTGTAATTTTGAGAAATCCCCCTTGAATGCATTTTTTGTTGTTGTTCTCATAAATCCCATTCACATTTTATATCACCATGTACAACAACTTTGGGCATCACAGTATAATATTTTGATAAAGACATGATGTTTAAATGAAACAAGAGAAATTGGAAGCGGTGTGAGGTATTAGGAAACATGTAGCAGATTTATATTTAGCAAACTTGTATTTGAATCGTGGCTTTGCTACTCACTACCTGTGTGACTTCAGAAAAATTATTTAATCTCTCTGGGTCTCAGTTTCCTTATCTATAAAATTATAGGATTGGACTAGATCACCTCTGTTGTCTATATTCCAACGATAAAGATTGAATAGTTGGGCATTTTGAATAATACATTGGGGGACTGAACTTTATAAATATTTTACCAGGAAATTATTTCCAAATCCTATAGGATTATAGATTTAGAAATAGAAGGCACTTTAGATACCAGCCACCAAGTACAACCTTCTCCTATGCTAAGGCCCAGAAAGGTTAATGGACTTGCCCAAGGTCACAGAGGTAGATTTGGATTTGAACCCAGATCTCCTGACTAAATCCAGCACTCTTTCCTGTACACAGAGAATTTTATCTTTGTCACTGATGTATCATGTGACTTTACAGTAATGGAGACTTGTTGCAACTTTTCTATCCTCATTTTATAAAAAGGTGGGAGAAAGAGATCACCTAACTGAGATGTTCACTTTGATTTTTTTTTTTAGTTTTAAGCATGCTAAAAAATCTTAAGAGTCCTAAATAATGCAGAGATAATCATTTCTCTACTTTGTGTATACCCATGCTTGATGGAGAAAGGATTTTTCCCCATACTGTTCCTTCACAACATTTCTTTTCAAACAAGCATATAACTGTCTAAACCCTGTTCCCCAGTTGTCAGAGATTTGGATTTTCTTGGCAGGAGAGATTTTCTGGATTTCTAAAAGTAGGAAGGAAGCCCATGTCTGGGAGAAAAACATTGAAAGAAATGCCAGGCCTGGTTGCCAGCACTATATTAGCCATATTCCTTTTGGGCACCAGTGGAATAATTCCCACACAAAATTTCTCTTCTTATTTGTAGGAGTAGGAAGAAGTCTTCTTTCTATAGAGACTCATGTGAAACATCTAGCATGAATTTACTAGACTCATACACCCCTAACATAGGCAGGAATTTACATACTTCGTTTCAACAAGGTTATGTCCAATATGACTTTTTAAATGAAGTCTTCTCATTTTATGTTCATATTGAATTTTTCCATCTTCTAAGGATTCATGAATTTATTGATAGAGATATTTGATTCACTGATACACACCATTAGTTCCATATGACTTGATATACTATCTTTGGGGCTTAGTATGGCTAAACAAAACTAAAATAAACAAAACAGAAATAACCCTGTGACCAACCTACTGACAAGTTTATCTAAATGTAACTAGGGTGGTCCTTAGCTGACAGATACATAATCTTTCACTAGACCTATATTCAAAGTTTTTGTAACTTGCTAGGACCTGTGAGGATTTACTATTCATTGGCATATCCTACCAACTCTATACCATGAGGAGTTAGACTAGGAATTTACCAGAAGTATATGTCTACATAGATCCTCATATGACATTTTATAAGCCCTTGTGAATCATGGCTTTATAATTAAAATTCTCTGTTTAGCATCTAAAGCTTTGCCTAGCATAACCCCATCTTAGCTTTTTGGTATCACTAAACATTACACGCTTTTTGGTCAGTCAAGTGGACCATGCCGTTCCTCATACATGACACTATCTCCCATCTCTTTGCCTTTACATGGGCTCTCTACCCACCTCCCCATGCCTAGAATGTACTCCTTTCTCACCATACATGTAGGAATTAAAACTCAGCTGATATTCCACTTTTTGCATGGGGTCTATTTTTTTTTAAGAAGAGAGAAGCAACATGGTAGGGTGGGAATCTCACACCTAGACTTAACTGCTAACTTTAACTCTGCCACTTTTATGCTTTAGGCCTAATAGTGCAAATCACTTCATCTCTGTGACTTTCAGTTCTTTTATAGGTACAAAGAGGGTAGGATGATGATATCCCTTTCAGCTCTAATATGCTGTGATTTTATCCTCAACCTTCGAGAGAGAATGAGTAGAAAGCTTCCTTGTGTAGTTTTGCAGTAGTTGATTTTCCATCCTAGGAATAAATAACTATAATTATATTAATATCTCATCAAGGGAGAACAAAATCAGAGAAAGAAAACTATATACCATTTTACCTAATGAATATTGATGCAAAAAAATTAAGTACTAGCAAGGAGACTATAGCAATATATAACAAAAATTATAGATAATGACCAGGTGGGATTTAAACCAAGAATGCAGGGTTCATTCAATATTAGGAAAACCATAAGCAAAATTCACCATATTAATAACCAAAAAATAACAAAAGCATATGATTATTGATACAATAGAGGTGCAAAAAAGCTTTTGACAAAATAAAATACCCAGTCCTATTAAAAACACTAAAAAACATGGGAATAAATAGAGCTTTTCTTAGGATAAGTTGTATCTAACTAAAATCAACAGCAAGCATTATCTGCAATAGCAATAGTTAGAAGGCTTACAGCAAAAATAGGAGGTTAAACAAGGATATCCATTATCTTCATTATTATTAAATACTATTTTATAAAAGATAGCTATAGCAATAAAACAAGAAAAGGAAATCAAAGAAATAAGAACATGCAATAAGGAAATAAAACTATTAGTCTATGCAGATGTTATAATGATACACTTAGAGAACCTGAAAGGATCAACTAAAAGAAAAAAAACCTAGTTGAAACAATTTAACAACTGTAACAAAGTTGTAGGATTTAAGTAAACTTATATAAATCATCAGCATTTCTATATACTACCAACAAAACCCAGTGGGAACAACATAGAAAGAGAAATTCCACTTAAAATAACTGTAGACAATATAAAACCTGCCAAGACACACAGGAACTTTATGAACATAATTACAAAATGCTTTTCACACAAATAAAGACAGATCTAAACAACTAGAAAAATATTAATTGCTCATAGATAGGGTAAACCAAGATAATAAAAATGACAATTTGACCAAAATTAATTTACTTATTCAGTGCCCTATCAAACTACCAAAGAATTATTTTATAGAGCTGGGAAAATAATAAAATAAAATTCATCTGGAAGAATATCAAGGGAATCAGTGGGGGAAAAAGTGAAGGAAGGTAGCCTAGTAATACCAGATATCAAACTATTTTATAAAGCAGTAATCATCAAAACAATCATTGTTGGTGGAATTGTGAACTGATTCAACCATTTTGGTGAGCAATCTGGAATTATGCCCAAAGAGTTATTAAACTGTCTATACCCTTTCACTCAACAATACCACTACTTGGTCTATTGCCAAAGATAATTAGGGGAAAAAGAAAAGAACCTATACGTTACAAAATTTTTATAGCACCTCTCTTTGTGGTGGCAAAGAATTGGAAATTACAGGGATGCCTATCAATTAGGGAATGGTTATGGTATACGATTGCAATAGAACACTACTGTGCTATAACAAATAGTGAGCTCAATGATTTTAGAAAAAAAAATATGGAAAGACCTGCATGAAATAATGAAGTATAAATCAATCAGAACCAAGAGAACATTGTTTATAGTAACAGCAATATTGTTTTAAGAACAACTTTAAGCAAATAAGTTATTTTGACTATTATACATACCCAAATTAACTATAAAAGACATATGAAGAGAGATGCTATCTATATCCAGAGAAAGAACTGATAAATGGAAGTATGTATAGAATAACTTTATACACACACACACACACACACACACACACACACATACCCCTATTTGTGTGTAAGGGTAGACATCTCTTGAGGGGGGGTGCAAAAAAGAAATTTACATAATAATTTCTTGTATACTTGAAAGGAATAGCAAGTTGTATATAACAGATTTACGGTTACATAAGCAATCATTTTTTAAATTGTACTATGTTACGGAAATGCTTCTTTTAGTCCATAATTAAAAATAAAATAAAATAGAACAATCTGGAATAGAAAGGAAATGCAGTGGTTGATCCATGAAAGAAGTTAGAGACACAATATACCAAAGTAAATGACCATAGTAATCTAGTATTTGATAACAGTAGGATGTTTGGATCTAAACTTTTGAAGCAATAACTCATTATTTGACAAAAACTGCTGGGAAGACTGGAAAGCAGTCTGCCAGAAACTTAACAAAGACAAAATCTCATACTTTATACAAAGACAAGATCAAAAAGGGTACATGATCACACATAAAGGGTAATATCATAAGCAAACTAGGGAAAGATGGAAAAAAATGCCTGTCAGATCTATGGATAATGGAAGACGTTATGACGAAAAAGAAAAACAGAGAAGTTCACATTAGATAAAATG